CTTCCATCCAATAAGGAATCTGTCACAATGCATTCTAGATTAACAATAATGTATTTTAATAATCCCTTTTTATTTATTGTAATTATTTTGCACAGTTTCCATATGCTTCTCTGCATCAGGATTTAAAATGCTTGCTATTGAATATCTGTCATTCTACACTTCCTAGAGGTACTTCTCTTTCTTCCCAGATATTTCAAGCATGGTTACCAGGAAAGAGGAAGAAACAGACCCCATTTATTTGTTTCTATTTTGCAGACTGTCTGGTAGCTGAAATTCTCTAGGTGCTTTACAATAAAGCCCACTGAAAATAAAATTCGAATAAAAATACATAAATAAAATCCAATAAGATTTGGATTTTAGAATACAGTACTGCAGGCTACTTCTGCTGACTGCCGGCTGCCTGCAGTTTGGCAGTTCAAATCCCACCAGGCTCAAGGTTGACTCTGCCTTCCATCCTTCCGAGTTGGGTAAAATGAGGACCCAGATTGTTGCAAGCAATAGGCTGACTCTGTAAACTGCTTAGAGTTGGCTGTAAAAGCATGTATAAGTCTAAGTGCTATTGCTATAAGATATAAAAACAGCAGGTAAACTAGGTAGCAACATAATGATGTTTGGTAATATTAAAGGACAGTTTGAACAGCATAGCCCACTTAGCTGCTGCTTCTTTCAGCAAACTTGGCAGAAGTCACTTTGGTGCATTTAGTAGAAAACTCCACTAGCTTTCCTCCCATAAACACAATACATTGACAGTGAATGTCCAGAATTATTCCTGGTCCCCTCTGAATTTCTCTAGCAAGCTCCCATGGGAATGCAGGATCATTGGCTGAGCCAAAAATTGTACTGCTGCGAATTGAGGAAAATTCTGTCCCAGCTGTTGTATTAATTGTATGGTGGCATTCTGCAAGTTAATCTTCTGTGCATCTATCTGCTGCTATTATTGCATCCAACACTGCTGCTGGATGCTTGGCAGATTGCAGAGCTCCCTGGGGATCAAAGGCCATTCCTAAAATTCCTCTCTTTGGGAAAAGGAGACTTGCAAGACCGTCAGACTTATGAGGTGTACCAGACAGGAAACCCAACCAAATGAGCTAATTCTACTTTATTGCAAAGATACATTAAAGAATCTTGCAAGTCTGAAAGTACTTCTCTCTCCCTCTTCCCATCCCCCTTACAGTCCCCAAACTAGGGAGGGACTGTTTTTGCCCCACCCACATTCCTGCTTTGGGCTAAACTGCCTTTTCTCTGACCATTCCCTTGGCTAAGTCTCTTTGCCCTGTCTCCCAAGATCATTCCTATATACCAGGGGTGGGCAAACTTTTTGGCTCGGGGGCCTCATTGACTTTTAAAATTTGACAGACAGGCCGCCACCTGGTGTCGAAATGCCTGTCATTACAAGTCAAAATCAAATGAATGCAATCATTCAATCATTCACATCAAACCTTAATTCTGTACCAATCTTCGGCGGGCCGGATTAAAAAGACCAACGGGCCGGATGTGGCCCACGGGCCGTAGTTTGCCCACCCCTGCTATATACCGTTATGCTCTGGTCAGTTCAGCAAGGGAAACTAATGGCAGGCAGTACTTCTGCCAATTCAATCTTAATACTCAAGTGGACAGGGAACCTGCAGAAGAAGATGGAATCCCCATGGACCACAGCAACTCACCTTCTCCAACTTCAAGTATGTGCTGGTGATGAACGGGTACTCTAGTGAATGCAACTGGATGAGGACACCTCTCCCAGTTCATTCAGCCAAATCTCTGTTTTATATATATATATATATATCAATCCAACCTTTTCATCTGCAACTAGATCTTGAGATAGGTTAAGTTTTATTTTGGATTTTTAAATTGTCTGGGGTTCCTTAAAATCAGCTAAGATTTTAGAGTAAGGTTATATATAGTAAAATATTCCAAGTGGCAATAATGGTTGAGGCAACACGTAATGCTAAGCCAGAACTTTTAATTGTGGAATCCTTGGTGCTCTCTGAGTTTGGTTGTTTGCACACCGTTCAACCTTGAGCTTCATATATTTTCTTTTATTAGTAACTATGGATCATTGAGAGACACATTGCAGCCTCCCATATCAATGTAGAGCCATAGTAGCAGAATTCACATATCCTCGAAGTCTGGAATGCATAAACTTGTTTTAATTGGAGGTATTGGCTTTTGCATATCAAAATGAAAATTTCATTTAACTACCAGTAAACCTCATTTGAGAACTAAATTAATGTAGTGGTCTTCCTTATTTATCAGCAGGAAGACTCAAATCCAGGAAGCCCCTACTGGCACTTGCACAACATCTGCCCAACAACTTTAACGATTCCCAATGGAAAGCCAAACGGGTGGCTGAACACCCAGTCATCGGAAGACATATAAATGACCCCACAAAAAAGGTGCCAGGCTTTGAAGCATGTCAGCAATCCTGCCTAGGACTAGCATCTCACATGGCATCTGCCAGGACTCTGTATAAATGGGACATTGTACCCTCTCAGTGCGACTGCAGGGTCCCATGTCAAACTAGATCACATGTAAGCTGAGGGCAAATACTGGTCTAGTATCTGATTTTTTTAAATATAAATGATGCTGTGTTCTAGTGATTAGATGGCCTAGACATTGGTATTTGAACATATATCTTTTTAACATTTATATTTTACTGTGTGTTTACTAATCTAGATGAAATGTTAATATATACTGCTAGTCCATATATGATATGCCATACGGTAAATAAATAGTGGTTAAGACATCAGGCTAAAACCGGAAGACCTTGTATTCTAGTCCAGCCATAGGCACAAAACCAGTTTGGTGACCTTGGGCCAGTCACTTTGTTTCAGCCCTAGGAAGAAAGCAATGGCAAATCACTTCTGAAAAACCTTGCCCAGAAAACTAGGGATCAATCCAGGCAGTCTCCAATAATTGGGCTGATTGAATAAGGAAAAAAAAGTCCCCATTTCATAATCACAGTTGGGCCTGGCAAATTGGCTGTTAAGCAAAGTGATGGCTAACTGAAAATGCGACTGTGCTTACAATCGTATTTTAGCTTTCCTTTGCTTTACAGACCTGAAAAGGTCATAAATATGATTGCTTACAGTTATCTTTTCCTCAATGATGTAACTGCAAATGATTGCTAAATGAGGACTACTTATAAATCGTTTTTATTTAAACCAAAGATTCACAAATTCTGTAGTTCCATGTCGTAAGATGTTTAATAAATTTGGTTAAGTCATCTTATGGCAATAATCCTTTCAGATTTCTTTCAAATCGTTCTAATCTATTTGGAAACCCAAATATTATTAGTAATAGTCTTCATAAACCTTAACTATTCTTAGGATAAGAATATACTCTGAGGGATTTGAGGAATTCAGATGTATCAAACAAATCCGTTTAGCCATTGTTACAATATCTACACTGTTACAACTTATTTTTCTCGTTCTTTTGATCACTTCTTTTCAGATAATGATGTGTTGGCGCTAGACTAAAATGACAAAATTAAAACAAGTGTGCAGTTCAGGTTTGTGAGCAGCATACAGATAATGTTTATAGGTTTTGTCTTTAGTAACAAGTTCTTGTTGAAGGAAAAAAACTGGAATGCCTAAGCATTGGGGACGATTACAGAAGTTCAAGAAGAAATTTAGTTGCATTGGATTTTCACATGGATTGATCAGTGGCTTCTTGAATACAAAGTATTAAGTCCAAATCATACACGTTGCAGTTTAGTGTAGTATATGAATTAATCTGTCTCAACATTTTCTCTGCATATAAATAATCAAGTTGGCACTTTGTGACACTAATCACAAACATTTTTTACTTAAAGCTCTTAAATCCTAGTGAAAGAGAATAATATTTTTAATTTCTCAAAATAAATTCAGGAGTTTGATAGTACCTTTTCTGATTAACACATTCTATTGAAAACTATACACACTGATGATCTATGGCACACTTCATCAGATGTATGAAATGCTAAACTGATGTAAGATTTAAAGAGGGTGTTCATACTATTACACGCGAGTCAGATTACAAATACATCAATTAGTAATTACGTGTTAAACTTTTTATAGTTTAACGAACTTGTTAGTTGGAAAAGGTGCTACCAAACTTTGTTTCAGATGCCATAGACTAATACAGCCCTTCTCCTATGATGTAGGTTTGTAACTCTTTTGCCCAACATTATATAAATTTGAAGGATTCTTTATAGTGCCCGACACTTGAATTTGTGATTCTGATCGTGGACTTTAACATTCTAGTGATTCCTATATGAATAGATCTGCATAGTTTACCTATCAAATCCAGAAACAATTAACAAATGTTAATTTTAAAAATTGGCAATTCTTCCATGGTATTTTTAGCCCATCTATAGAAAGGGCTGGGAAAGGAATATTTCTTTTAAATAAATCACTAAATTCATCACTGGATACACTTCATGTTCTGAGAGATACATTAACATTGTGTATCACATTGTATTGTGATATCCCCTTAGACTGAAGTATCTCTCATCTATTATTTGGCAGCCCTCTTGCTCTTCTAATTCAGGGATCCCCAACCTTTTCGACGCCGCGGCCTGGTTCTGGCATCAGCTGGGCGCCGCGGCCCGGTGTCAACTGGGCGCCGCCATCTTTTTTTGACGAAAAAGCGCTTCCGGTGAGCTTTCTACCCGGAAAAGCTCACCGGAAGGACTTTTTTTACCAAAAAAAGATGGCGGCGCCCAGCAACCAGCGGCCCGGTAAGGCTTGTTCCGCGGCCCAATACCGGTCCGCGGACCGGCGGTTGGGGACCCCTGTTCTAATGTAGCTTTATTTGGGGAGAGCTGTATTAGATAGTAAAAATCAAGGAGCACCTTTTCTAGCAAATTTTATTAACCTAACTGAAGGGGTGATTAATGACATACAGAATCCTGAATTTAGGATTATTAGCAGACTCCTAATTCTAACTAAACAAATTATCAAACCCTTGACTTTTACAGGCATTATCTTGAAGTGTAAATCACAGACTTACAAGCACATGCCATGTTTAAAAAAATGTCTATTTTTATTTAACAACTTTAACAAAGGAAGTATTCGCTTCCCATTGAACATTTAAAAAATACAACCAGAACAAGGAAAAACTTTATTAACAAGGATGCTTATATGAATTATCATAAAGTACATGTTTTTTATTCTTTGGGTAATCTTTCTCAAAAAAACAAACCCCACGAACAATGGAAAAAGAATGGGATAAAACATTGTATATGCAAAATGATCAAACAGAAACATGTCATTATACATTTTAGAAACAGTATGCAGTTTATGCCTGAATGACAGGGAAGATCACAATCAACTATTATCATAGGAGAGGAAACAATGTGGCCATATAAAGTCAGTTTGCTTAACATCTGCATCATCTTACTATTTTAAGGTTGTGATCTTATGTATGTTTGCTGGAAATGAGTTGAATGAAAACAACCTGCATTCAGGAAAGCATAATTAGGATTTAGCTGACATTTTTCTCCACCCTATTTGCTAAAGATCTACTTAGAACCTTATTTTAAATTGAATGGACCACTAACTATCTGACTCAAGTTCAGATTCCAAGCAAGTTAATTGCATATTCGCCTTTGCCCTTCACTAAACCACAAACACATGTTCATGTTCTCAATTTTAAAAAAAAACTGGATATAGACTAAGGATATGCATATAAATGAACTAGGAATGGTTCAGTTCTTCCCAATGTTTAAGAATCTGCTTACTTCAGAATACAGACTCTCTACTATATAATGATTTAGAAATAAATTCCTACGTTTACTTATTGAATCGACATTACATCTGAAATCTCACAACCTAACAACAATAGAAAATGAAACATTCTAATTTCATTCTAATGATAAACATATTTACACAAATGCTCCTTTTAAAATGAGCATTCGTTGTGCTAAATGTGAATTATGGAGAGGTCCAGAAAGAATTAGCTCAGCCTGATACTAAGATACAGTAGCAACTGATTACTATGTTTGGGACTGCAGGACTATTAAACGATAAAGGTCATAATTCACAAATACAGTTTGTAACATAGTTAACATATACTGCAAACACAGTCCACTAGATGGGGGATTTACAGAACAGTTTAGAAGGTTTTCAAGTCAGATGTATACTAAGTGTTCAGATGGGGAAAAACATAGTTTGTAGCTTGTGGTTCTTCTACATTACTGCTAGAGAGCTCAGTTAAAGCTTCTCTTTCATTGGCCACATTACTGAGGTAATAATGAATGCAGTTCAATGAAGCCTTTTCTATTTCTCCTCACCAGCACCTCCGGTTGCTGTTTTGCTGAGTCCTCTGATTGACAAGTCGTAAACCACCTCTTCTATTTTCTTGACATCATACTTGAGGCCATCGTAGCGTTTCCTCAGGGAATCATTTTTCAAATTGAGCAGGCGGAATCCTGAATCCAACTCATTGATGAAAACAGAGATGCGAAGGGGCCGAGAATAGTCCCCAGATGTCACACTATTCACGGCTAACCTAGACTATTAAATAAAACACAGAATGAAGCCTTTTACACCTCACTGGGGTTCCATTATAATACCTCTATGTTAATAGGATACAAATACAATCTGATTATTTTCTGAAAGCATGAACATGAAATCCAAATGTTTCGAAAGTACCTAGGTTGGGAGATGTACCTTTAGAATGAATACTCAGTATCAAAAGCCTTTTATCTAAAAACTTTACTAATTAAAATCTTGCCAATGAGACAATAGGAAAGGCTAATAAGCAACATTAATCAGCCAACAAGGAAATAAATAATGCTATTAGGTATACCTTCTTCACTTGCTGTCCTCCAAGTAAACTGAGATTTTACACTTCCCCAATTTTTTTAACCAACTCCAACGAGAATACCCGGTCAGAAAAAACCAACTAACTTTATGCAAGCATTAACTTGCTATTTCCTTCTATTCAATTAGATGAGCAATATAGCTATTCAATATTCTACATACCAGCTCACTTGCAAGAGTCAATACTCCAGAAAGATAATCCTCAATGTCCAGATGAAAGCCTTTTTCTCTATCAGCTTCAACTGAAAAGAAAAAGTATATACATGAATTCAAAAATAATTAGGCAAACAATTTTAGACACACATAAGATTCCTAGTGCCATGTCAAGCCTTCCTCCAAGCCTTATTAACTTACTTCCAAGAATTTCAGTAACAGCTTCCCGTGTCACCAAGGTTTCTGTTTCCAGATAGACAACAAATGCAGCTAAGAACACCAGTCGTTGGAGCACAAACCTCCAGTGTTCATGAAATCTGTATGAAAAAACACCTGATTGAAATATAGGCATTTTATGAGCATTTTTAATGATTCCAGGGTCATGCTTACGTTCCAATGGTTGTATAACCAAACATCAATAGGAAAATATATGTGCATCTTGCTCTTCTATTGAAGGTCAACACACTTTGTGATGCAACAAGTTAAGACTGTATAATAGTGATTAGCTCCAGAATGCCAAATTATTCTTGTTATCTATAAGCACCACCCAACAATTTCTCAAATGTACAAGTCATTTACTATTTAATAGAACCACCCCCACTAATTAATACAGCAAATAGTTTAGAATTAGCTCCCTCTAACAATAATTCTATCTTTTATCAGATCGTTTTCCTTTTGAAATGTATTATGTCAAATTGTACTGAGGGAAGGGAGGAATTCACTAACCTGTAATATTGATCCGCAGGAAACTTTGTTTTCAGAGAAGCCAGATGTATTTTAACAGTATTAAAGTGTTCTCGAGCCTTCTGACATTTCTTTGGTACTGAAATTAAAAGAAAACAGCAAGTTAAAAAAAAAGGTATTGAAATTGTTGTGGCTTCAAGCATAAACTTATGAACTGTGAAAAAAAACAAAAAACAAATTCAGAATTAAAAGAAATTGATCCAAATTAAAACTTTAGCTATTCCCAAATAAATGAAACAAATTTGTGATGACTATAATTTTGACCTAGCTCTTTTATGCTTTAAGTTGGAAAAATAAACCTGTAACAGGCAGCCTATCTCTCTCTTTTTCTTTCTGTCTCTTTTTAGTGGCTAAGGACCACAGCAGGCAGACACTGACACACCAAAGTGGCTGAGTAGGATTTCTGAGGAAGGAGCTTTTAAGATGTGCTTTGTTCATATGCACATTGGTATATTCATTCTAAAAGAACTTTTACATGCCTTGAAAAGATTTTGAAAAAAAAAAAAAAGATTTTCTGTCAAAAATGATCATGAAAAAAATCAAACTTTTGTTTTTCGGGAATTGGCCATTGAAATTCAGCTGCACAATTCGGGACACTACAAGAAAGGAATGGGAACCAAATGCAGCCTGCCCATTGTTGTCCTAATTTTTCAAGGTTTAAGAAACATTTTGCTACCACACCATTCAAATGATGTATCAGGTATTAAACTCTCTTCTAAAAAAAAGTAATTATTGACTGGCTAAATACGTAAGCTGGATTACTTTTTATAGGTCCCCATATTTCTGACAAACAAATGCAAAGCCATTTTGAGTAAGAAAATATATTATCTGGTAGCAATTGCTTTTGTAGGATCAAAACATTTTCCATTGTTTCCCAACAGTGTGATATACTGAATAAAACACACAAAGCTGGACTTACTGTCTTGAAATCCAGAACCCTGGTGGACTCCTTGAAGCACAGTCAAAATTTCCCGAGCAGTTTGCTCCAGAGCTTGAACAACTTTCCTAATCTCCTGTATTTGATAAAAAATATATATGAGTAGGATTGTTAAAAACAAAGACATTGTCACACAAGACTAATATGATTGTCTTTTTTTCTAATGTTATGGCCAAATCTGGTTTACCATAAGCAATCCAATCACTTTGAAGATACAACACAAACTCTTAGATTTGGGATTTCCAAACTAGTACATACATAAGTTACATTTTGGCTTATATGTATAATCATGTTATAAAAACACCTCAGCTAACAGAAAAATGAAAGTATTCATCTTCATAACCATATGGGAATTTAGACAACTAAGTTTCCCCCTCCTGCCCCCCCCCCCCCAATTCTGGGTGCCTTCAAAAGCTATTAAGAAATGATCTGATTTTCTTATTCCAACAAGAAAAGGATTTACATATTTTTAGAGGCCTAATACATTTTGAAGATCCAATTCTCAGGTAGTCCTCGCTTAGTGACCAGCAACTCCATCCAACCACTAAGCAGAAAATTACATCACTGCAATGGGCTTACAATCTCACTTTCCATTTAGTTGTTAAGCAAAATATGACATTGTGGCTTACAATTTTACTTCTGTGTTCTCCATTTAACTCTGTTGCATGCTACTTGCGACGTACATAAATGGCAATCACGCGATGCTGTGATGATCCTAAATGCATGCTGGTTGAAAAATGCCTGAACAGCAATTATGTGACTGCAGGATGGTGTGACAGTCATAAATGTGTGAATTAGTTGCAAAGCTATTTTTATTGATGTAACTTCAAACAGTTGCTAAATGAAGCAGTTGGTAAGTGAGGACTCCAGTAATAGGATACAATCTATCTATTCCATCAACCAACATGACAATACTATTTTCTACCTTCATTATTGAGGTTCCTTATTTTTGCTATTTGCATCTTGTTTAAGATGCCTATGTACCATATTTTTTGCATTATAAGATGCTCCAGACCATAAGACGTACCTAGCTTTTGGGGAGGAAAACAAGGGGGGGGGGAAATCTGCCTCTGCCTCCCAGCAATTTGGCTCCTTGCAGCAAACAGCCTGGTCAGCTTCAGCACAGCCTGGTTAGCAAGAGCAGCTGATTGGTGACTGGATCAGCCTCCCAATACCACCAATCAGCTGTTGCAGGTGGAAGGGATCACCATTGTCTATTGCCGCCTCCGTGTGCCCCATTTTCGGCCTCCACGCACCTCAAGCGGGTGTAACATATATTATCACAGAAATTTGGGGCTGCAGTTATTTGAGTCAAATGTTGTTCTGTGCAGATCAGCTTCAAAATATTAAGTGCAATTTCCTATTTAACTGCAAACTAGAGTAATTTGGAATCTCTTAACAGCACATTTGTCTTATAATACAAATACAAATATTATATGGAGCTGACAGGAAGGAGCAAAGCCATAATGCTTTTAGAATGATTGAGCTAATGAAACTGGGAACCTTCCAAAGGGATCAGAAACATTTATAATTCATTATCTGCAAATGATTGATTAAAATTTCCAAGTAGAGTGACCTTAAGATGAGTTATATTAGTTACATCATCACTTTCCTTGAGAGAGAGAAACAAAAACCTAAAATGAGAAGAAGGCAACCAAGACCCTTATTGTTAATAGTTAACCTGAATAACAGGTGCAGAATATACCAGATTTTCTTCTTAATTAAAATATCTGCTTCTCTTCTGCCTTCCCTTCCTTTGATAAGTAGTCTTTGATTCATGACTGGTAACAAAGTCCATTCAAAGTTACAAGGGACTTCCCCAGAACTACTTATAATCCATTTTTGAAGTTATGACAGCTGTCACTTCCTAGGTCATGTGATTGTATTTTGGATGCTTGGTAACCAGCTCACCTTTATGGCCATTTGCAGTATCCATATGACTGTGATTTCTTTTTTTGCTGGTTTTTGGGAAATAGATTCACTTAAGGATTGCTGCAAAAGTGTCATAAAAGCAGGCCTAATCACATGATACCTCAACCTACAATCACAACTTACAACTGGGCTCAATTATAGTCATAAGTCAAGGTAATGTAACATACATTATGGTCATAAGTCAAGACAGTAATATAAATACAGCCATGTTTTAGACCAGTGTTACAACTGCTATCTTTTTTTTTTTGCTCTTAGGACCCCTTCCCACTTTTAAAAATTATCGAGGGCCCTATCAATATTTACTATATTGAAAACTGAAATTGATGCATTTGCAGAATATTTTTGTTGCATCATGTAAAAAACAATATTAAACCTAAGGAACATAAATATTTTCACGAAAAATTGTATTGTTTTGTTTTGGAATGTAATTATTTTAAATTTTTGCAAATTTACTTCAACATTTGGCAAATCATTTTGATTTTGTAGATTCCTGGGATGTACTTGGGGGACCCCCAAAAAGGCCCTCGGACCAGAGTTTAGGAAATACTGGTTTAGACCATGATTATTCACTGCGGAGCAAATTCATGCAAACCAAGATAATGTTGGTAGGTAAGTATGGGGTTGGTAGGTGCGTGTGCGTGCAGGAAGGGCAACAACAGGTTTTCCCTTTATCCTTTCACCGAGTATTACCCATTATCCACCTTACATCCGCCCCCTCTCTGGACGAGTAAGGACTACAATTCCCAAAATTCCCAGCCGCGGCCGGGAATCCTAGGAGTTACAGTCCCGGTGCCGAGGAGGGGGCGCCCTAGGGCCCCTTCCCCCTCCCCCTCCCCGCTCTTACCTCGCGGATATCCTGGTCGGCGGTGAGCACCCCCTGCAAGCCGATGAACATCTCGCTGACGGACATGGCTCGAGCACCGGGACGAAGATTCGCGCCTCTTGGAACCGTGCGCAAAATCGACGGGCAGCCACGAGCTCCCCGTCACGTTCAGCGCAGAAAAAGGGTCCTTCTCGGCCGCCGTCGCTTGAGCCCGTTCTCCTGGCTGCCTCCTTAAAAAGACTGCGGCATGAAGGATGTAGGTTGTTGTTGTTGTTGTTTTTGCTGTTGCTGCTGTTAACCTGATAGGGCTGGCTCGCTTTTCTCATTGATTGGTTGTCCTCCCCCCTTGGCAGAAATCTTCCGCGCTGTCCGGGCAACGCGCAAGACAGCCCTCCGAGAAAGGAAAACCCCAGCCCGAAGATCGTCGCTCGCTTCCTCTCCTCAGTTTTGGCTCCAACCAGAGAGAAAATACCCCAGAGCGGCAGGCCCGTGAAGTTACAATGGCTGAGATAGGCTTTCTGTGGCGTGGTTTCCTGTGCGCTCGGCCCAGCGGCGGCCATAGAGTGGGGGACCTTTCTCGGTTTCGGCGCGATTTGCTCTCCTGTGTTTGGGGGGGGGTGTTAAGACATGAGACGCTCCCTCGCGTGGTTGGCATGGAAACGAAAGCCGGGCTGCCCAGCGGCTTCCTCGACTGGTGAACGGAGCGTTTCGCTTCAAGGTCGGCCCGGGCTGAGCGCGTCGGTTGTGAGAAATGCGCAAAAGCAGGGCGGACGACATGGTGGGTTTCGACTCCCGCTCCCTCCGGTTCGCAGCACCCGGAGTGGCGAGTGGATCACCATGTCGGAGTGGCAAAAAGATTCGCAGGAGAAGATTGCAGCTGCCTTAGCTGCCGTCTCGTTGCGGGAACCCCTCCCCACGAAAAATGAAATGTTTTGGGGAACATTAAGAGGCTGAATATTATATTTCCACAAAGGAGGAATGGAGAAACAGGTTCTTCAAAGCAGAAAGCAACCCGTTTCCTGCATAGTAAAACAGCCCCAAGCAGATGCCTGAAGTCTTTTAGAGATGGATATTTTGTGCCCATTAGGAAAGACTGGGCCAAACTATCACAAACAAAACACCTTCAGTTCCAGTTGATGGGATTAAGAATTTGCACCCTCCACCCCCAAATTCTAAGAACCTTTAGGACATAAGAGGGTTAACTCACCACCATTGAAATAGCAAAAGACACAAAAGCCCCTTCACAGGGAGGAAGGGGTCGAGGTATTTTCTAAAGCGTCTGTAGGCCAGACAAGGAATAATGGATGGAAACTGAACAAGGAGAGATTTAACCTGGAAATAAGGAGAAACTTTCTGACAGTGAGAACCATCAACCAAAGGAACAGCTTGCCCTCGGAAGTTGTGGGAGCGCCATCACTTGAGACTTTCAAGAAGAGATTGGACTGCCATTTGTCAGAAATGTAGGGTCTCCCGCTTGGGGGGGGGGGTTGGACTAGGTTGACCTACAAGGTCCTTTCCAACTCTGATTATCTGTTATGTGCACAATCCCCAGAACAGTTCAAACTTCAAAGTCACAGAAACCTATAAAGATCCATCCACCCATTCAATCATTTGGTCAGCTGACCCAGAAATGTGGATAGTTCTGCTCATCCATAAAACAAAGTCCTCTCCAATCAGCTTCCATTTTATTTCCAGCACCTTTCATCCGGCTTGGAGACGGGCCAGACTTTTCTTCCAACATTATCGTCTTCTGGATTTATTTATTTTTCAGCTTCAGTTATAGTTTTTGAAAAGGGAGTGGCAATAGAGCTACCAGAAAGCCCATCATTCCCCCTTGAGCTTTGCACTTGCCTTGGGCAAACCTCCAGGATGAGGAAGTTTTGCTGGCACTTTATTATAATAATTCCTTTATTATTCTTTATTATTCCCTATTTTGGAACAAGCTTGTGTCCTCCACGTACAACCCCAACTGAGCTCAAAATTTCTGTTTTGCTAAGTTGAGACATTTGTTAAGTGAGTTTTGCTCCATTTTACAACTTTTCTTGCCAATGTTGTTAAGTGAATCACTAGGTAAATTAGTAACACGATTGTTAAGTGAATCTGGCTTCCCCATTGACTTTGCCTGACAGAAGTTTACAAAAGGTGATCACGTGACCCTGGGACATTGCAACTGTCATAAATGTGTGTCTGTTGTCAAGCATCCGAATCTTAATCACATGACCATGGGGATGTTGCACTGGACATAAGTGTGAAAAATGGTCATGAGTCACTTTTTTCAGTGCTGTTGTAACTTTAAATGGTCACTAAATTTAACTGTTGTAAGTCGAGGACTATCTGTACTTTCTAACACAGCTGAGACTTAAGGGAATCTTGAGTCGATCTTAGTAAAATAGCCATTAAAAATTAGTCACTAAGGAGAGTCTTTTCCAGAGTTCTGATTCTTGGTAATGATTAAGAATAAATAAAGTTTGGAAAGAAAATATACTTTAATCTTTGAGTTTGTTTTGCAATTTTCATAATCCATTGACTTTGGGCGAGGGCTGATTAGAGTTGAAGTTCAAAGCTATCATTATCAATCTTTGTTTTTCTCATATATAAAATTCCATTACAACACTGATTTCAAGATAAAGAATATGAGAATAAAATTATAGGGATTACTAATACAAAATTACAAAACTAATAAGATCCAAGTGTAAAATTGTACATCCTTTTGATACTAAAACTGAAAATGATGATATAGGAATGTAAATGATTAAACAAGATAGCCTAAAATAAACACGATAAATAAAACAACTAAATCACACAAACATTTAAAAAATACAGTCTGCAAATCAAATAATCTAACTTTCAGTGTATTAGGTTTAATAAACTATAATTTTATATTACAAATATAGTGCAGATTTGGCTTATTTAGCTTGATTCAAGATCAAAGATGTAGAAGACTCGCCAAATATCTAGAAAGCACTGAATTGCATATCCCTGCTTTTTTTCAGAAATGTACATAATCAGATTTCAACATCCTGTTGACATTCAGAATTTGGTGAACTTTGCATAATATTAAAAACAGAGTTATATAATAGATTTATTTCATAAGAGAGTCTAGCTATAAATCCAGGGTATGTTCACTGAGGAAAATGATGGAGTTCCTCTTTTTATATCTTGAATAAATATTAATTATTGTTTTTGTTTTAAAAGATATGTGGAAAGTCAGGGATGCCTCCTAGCTTTTTCGATTAGTTTTATTTTAAAACCCTCCCTCATACTATGAGTAACTATAAAAATGTTAAAAACATTATTATTGTATATGGTTGGTATATCTCTATTGCATAATTTTTCCTTATATAGGAGCTGTTCTTTGCTTGCTCTTTTCCAGCTCCACAATAATTACTGAAGTGTGGAGATCAGAAATAGTATTACAAATGTTGTCACACCACAAGTTTATGTAAATGAACACAGGCAGTTTTTCACTGTCTTTTTTAAATGATAGACATTTTTATCAAGCATGATTCCAAGATCTCTTAATCACTGACAATTGCATCATGATTTGCCCACCATTATCCCACTTGGCAATTCATTATTGTTTATTTTTGGGAGTCTTTTAATGGTAAATATCCCTAGCTTTTGATACAGGCCACAGTTCAGACTTCCCAGTGTACATGGCCAACAGGAAATTTCATCCACATCCAGTTGAACATTTAGGTGTTCTTACTTCACAACCAACAATGATGACAATGCATCCTTAAAGTCACCCACACTATTACTATTAGTTTTGTAATGAGTAGCATTAGGGAATCTGTGTAAATGTTTTAGCATTATCTGTAAGTAATCAGATTTGCCTGCATGTGACATACTAGTTTGTTTTGATGTCTGTTGTGATCATTGCAGCATTTTAGCTTAGATGGGGCAATGTGTATCTAATCTTTTTATCTGATTTACAGCTGCTACACTGTACTTATCAAATTTTATTTCATCTCACAAACACAGAATACCAAATGTATTTGCATAATCAGACATGAGAAATCCTTTCACCTATACATTCATTTGTAGATGATCCATTTGTACAATGGAAAAATTTTCAGTACTTTTTACCATCTGCAGGACTTCTGTTAAAGCCCTTTTAAAAAGCAATCACATCAATATGCCTGAGAAAGTATGAGTAAAAGGATTATGTTTGGGAAATTTATAAAAGCGGTAGGGGATATGTAACTGATGTGAAGAAGAAACTGAAGATGCAAATATAAATTAGTTACATTATATTCAGTAATATAATGAATACTGTGAGAGCCAGTTTGGAGACTGATATCTCCCTCTCCCCCTCCCAGATATTTTTTCTATATACAGTTATAAAATGTACTAATCTAAACAAAGTGTGCAGATTTTTAGGAGGGTAAACTAGTCCCCATTCTTTAACATGTTGATACACCAGGGGGCAGCAAATTTCATTTGCTTAAAGTGAGACTTCATTTTCCACCAATATTTCATTTATTTTATACCAGTATATATACAGTATTTCATTTGTAGCACATTTTGCACGAGCAAATCTTTACCATCAAAATCTTTGCCTTTTCTCAGTGTAATAACACATTCTATGATGTGAAATGTAGTTTATAATTGCATTGTAGATGGTCCTTTATGAAAACAGTTAATAATGAATAATGAGACCTATGTGTCGGGATTTTGCCAAGCTTCTGATAATGGCTTAATCTAAAGTTGAACTGCACTCACAAGATGCTTGCTGGAGAAGAAAGAAAGTACTGTTTTCTGTCTATTTCTCTCCCTTTGCAAGCCAAAATCTTTATTAGAGTGCTGTATCAGAGTGTTGTGCCTCGGGTGGTATTCTAAGGGGCTATACGGAAAAGGGAAAATGGTGAAAATGATTCACCACCTACTTATTCTTTCCCCACTTCTTCTAGATCCCTTTGGATATGAATGGAGCCTGTCAGCTCTAAAACATCATTTCCGAATCCAGCCTTTGAATATCCATCAGTGACTGGGCAGCGTAGAGAGATTAAATAATTCAATAACATTCATAAAAACAATACACAAAAACAATAACATGCCTGGGATCAAAAAAACACTTGTCTTCAATTCAATGCAATTTGACAGTGGTGCTTACTTAACCTCCTGGCCCAGATCCCTGTGGAACATCCAAGTTTTCAAAGCCCTGCAAAAGTCCAACAGGGTGGAGGACCATTTGGCTTTTTGGTGCAATACTTGTCCACTGAACAGAAGCAACAACAGAGAAGGCATTTAATATTACAAAAGCCACTAATTTGAGTATTCCACTTTCATCAGGACAGTAATTTAAGGTGGCCTTCCAGATACATTACCACTGAACTGCATTTTCAATAGCCAAGGAAATAAAGGGTCACAAGAAACTGGTACTTGCAATTCAACCATATCCACGCTCCAAATCCCTTCTCTTAAACTCTGGCATCTTGGGCATTCTTGGAAGTGTGTCTTTTCAGGTCCTCATCTTTTTATCCTTCTTGAGTATATTC